AATACTTTGTGAATTTGGAACTTCATCAAAAATATAATGGACTGATCATACAGATTTCATCGCCACTAAGCTAGAATAACTTTTTCATGAAGTTTGAGATATCATCTTTGCATTTTGAGGTGGAAGTCAAAGAAAGGTTCCAACTCCCGAAAGGCTGTGATTGCTAGAGTTATATTTTGTTCTGAAGACTAAGAGATGTGCTTGGCAGGTGCTTCTTACAAAACAACTAAGAAACCTGCAAGGATTATTAAGTAAAGCCCTCCACTCAGGCTGGGGTCGGAGATCGTTTTATATAGCCGATTACTGATTCCAGCAGGAATCCTTTGTTTTCTTTCACCACAGAGATCTGTTTGTCATTTACTTCTATTTATTTAGCTTGGTGCGTACAATAGTTATTGGAATAAGTTTTGACATGCGACTTTTGTCAGCTCTGAATTACCCTCAGCAGAACCGATAAAGATCAGTGTTATATGAAAAATGCTCGTGCCGAGTTACAGCTGTGTTTGCCAAGATTCTCTCCCGTCTCAAGACATGTGGACGTTTTGTTTTCCTTTAGTTGAATGCATGGAAGAGTTGTGTTCGAAGGGATCTGGTGGTAGAACAGAAAGAAGAGAAGAAACACTCGCTCGATGTGTGAGCTGTTTATCCCTCCTTCAGGAAGCCAGGTTTATAATCCCAGCATGAACTGGTGTCCTGCACCTAATATATGATGATTTTGTGCTCTGCCTCTACTTCTCTTAGGTGGCCTTGTTGAGGGAGATAAAACGCTCACACTTCCTGTCTTCTTCGTACATCTAGTTGTACGGTAGTTGTTCCTGGAACAAGAACGATGTTCTCTCCAAGGCAAGCCCACCCTGCGAGAGCCACAATCTAAAGACGATTTACGTTCTTGATAGAAGGAAGGTTATTATTAAAAGCAATAATAGAACCAGTGACCTCCTCCAGGAATATGCTGCTGAGTTCTCCTAAACAATCCAGCTGTGTGTGCCTTTCCATATTTACTCTGATCAGAGTCCTCCTTGATCTTTGAACAGGTGGCGGAATCTTGGAACATTCAGACACCGTGATTATCAGTTGGTTCATTGTTACTTGTGTTATGACAAACTGCAGTCAGCAGCCTTGCTACTTTTCTCCCTGACCTTTGTGGTGAAAAGATCTTCCTAAAACAGTTAAAGTTGCAAATTTCTTTTATTGCTAGCAATGTGACCCACTGAACGTAGGTTTACAAAGACAAATACAGTCAATTGTAGAAGCATGATAAATGTATTTTTAGAAGTTACACCCATAATTAGTTCCGGTGCTTACAAAACAAAGAGCATTATGTGAGTCAATATTTTTGGAATTTGTTGTAATTTAATTGGATCAGTGTAGTTGTCACTGGGAACTGCATTAGGAATATCTTCTTTGAAAAAGGTAACTGTTATTTGCAGTAAGTTTAATATATATGCAAATATATAAAAAATATCTTTCTATCTGTCTTTCTGTGACACTAAAGCCCTCGTAGGCCCTTGGCACCTGCCAGTATTTTATACTGTCTAGCTTTTACTTTGTGTTGGTTTTTCATTTTCTGGGATAAGAATCAGAGGTCTACTCAAACTTTTAGCCTGGAGAACTTTTGGTTATGTGGTATGGTTCCCTAGGTGGGATTATTTCCACAACATTTTTTTTTTTTTTTCATTTTATCTTCTACTATGTGGGTGCTTGTGCCCCAAACTGTTTACTTCTTTCCTGTATCAGGATCTTTTTTAATCAAATGGAAAACATATTAACTAATCGACATCTCCAAACTTCTTACAGCATCTCCATGTGACTTTCATCTACCGCTCTCTAACTCCTATAAAGATCTGCTCAGTGTTGTGCATCCAAGTTCTTTTGCATCATCTGTCGCATGATCCTGTCATTGCAAATATAAACATAAGTAATCACAATCTGGGGATATAAAGAAAATCTTTCCTTGTGCAGTATTTCATACTTTTTAGACACCCTCTAGGCAGGCAATAGAATCAAGTAGTGAATAGACCTGCAGCGTCAAGAAACACTCAGGGTATTGCTACAGAAAACCTGAAAGTTATAAATCTAAGTAGTCAAAATAGAATTGTCGCAACAGCCAAGGAAGGCCAAAAATGCTGCTGTGAAACAATAAGTAAAGATGCTAAACCTACCTCAAATGTATCCTATACTTTAAAATCCCTCCTCTCAATGCATTTATTGTGACAGCCAACAATCTATCATCCTCTATTCCACAATCTCTTCCAACACTCTGACCCTGATTTACTAAAGGAGAAGAGCATGTTCACTGTGCAAAGTGAATTTTCAGCTAAGCTTAGCTTAGTAAATGTGGGTAAGCCATGCTGACTTCAGTCATCCAATCTTGTGAGCAAAAAACCCCGGTTTTTTAAAAGTTCCTTGCATGTGATTGGGAGTTCTTTACAGAGTGAATTTTCACCACTTTCACTAAGTGAACATGCTCAGTTGCCTTAGTAAATTAGGGTTACTGTCTCTCTTTAGATTTGCCATCTATTCATCATTTTTTGCCATCTATTCATCATTTTGCCAACCTTTTTTTTGTCAGTCTCCCTCTTATCCAATGTCCATTTTCGCTTTTCAGTCTTCTCCCTCATTTAGCTCTGTCATGTTAAAAACAGTCCCCGGGGGCTTAACCATTTGCTGCATTGTGGTAATGCACACATTACAGCAATGCATGTTGATGCATGTTAAATGCCTTAGCACTTTACTGTGCTATTTACTTTCAATTACACCCCAATACACCAAGGAAATGCACATGTGTTGCAGTGTAAAGTAATGCAGTATGATGTGTTGTGGTGCCATGCATTGCAAAAACTGGCACGTGTTCTATTTCTTGAGAGTTCACACAATTAAATGGGCTGCCTTACCACAACGCATGTTAACAGTTGATAAAACAACACACCAGGGTGCCAAGGTGTAAATAGGCCCTAACCTTTCCATGCCCTTGTCTGTCCAAATATAGATGTTCTGGTGCTATCATAGAAGGCATGGCATCACTTCTTTCCCCCATTTATAACTGACTACCATGGCAGAAGAATTTCCAGGATATATACTGGAACAGCCTACGTACTTTCTGGTGCTCAATAGCAGAAGAACTTTGGTCTAAAAAACTGTTCAATAAAGAAAGACTATTGCTGTCTCTCTGTATTCACAGGAGAAGCTCTCCAGTAGATACTAACCAGCAGCCATTCTATTTCGATGTCCCTATTGACAGAGCCCCAAAACCAAATCGCTTTAGCCCATCCATTATCAGTGCCCCTATTTTTTTTAAACTCCAACCTTTTTGCAGATCCACCCCACCTCCTTTGGATTCTAAGAATCCACGCTGTCCTTACAAAATCAGGACATTTGGGAGGCCTGATTTGTCAATAATGTAAGCTGGCAGTGTTGCATAGAATGATAAATTCATAAGCAATGGATTCCAGAACAGAGTTCATTTAGAAGTCATGTGGGTAATTACAAACTCCAGCTACAGTATTTTTTGTATAACAATATGCTTCAAGAGCTACTGCGTTTTTATATAATAGGCCACACATTGGATGAGAAATCCATATGTCACAATATGCATTCTCTCTAAAAATGGTATGCATGTATATCTGTTAGGTTTATTTGTATTGTACAAGACGTTTCAGTCTAGGCCATCTGATTTCTGTCATTCTGAAAATGCTGACAAAGCTGTCAGCTGACTCCCAGCCATCACTCAAGACAACAGATAGATAGTTCTGGATTTCATCTGCCGTGTTAAGTATGGTAAGTTATCACTCTCCACATAGCACAAACTACATGTGTACAGTAATCCGTGGGACTCATCTGTGTCATTAAATGATCATGAATTTCAGCTTGAGGCTATGTATCTGCATATTTTTTTCTGCAGCAAAATAAGATCATAATCTTGATTAAAAGTCCCAATCTTAAACAATATCTGGATAAGCAAGATGCTGTGTTTAAAATGAGCCGCTGTTGAAATATGTAAATCCAGACAAATAACATTCCACCTTCTTTAATTGCAGTGGGTTAGCAGTTAACATACAAATCATCGGCTATGACATGCTGATAGAGTACTCTCTTGTAGGAGAAGATTGGGGACCCCCCACAACCCAGCTCTCGTACCATGCTTATCGTATGGTTGCTGAGAATTATTTTTGTCTGATGGTTTAGACCTGTTTAGCTGTATGATGCGCTAGCAATATTAATGCTGTCCTGTGTACATTCGTGCGGATGTATATCTGATGCTAAGAGGCACACAAACAGTAACTATTTCCACGGTTAATTTTTCTGAAATTGTATTTTTGGGCTCATTCTTTCCCAAACTGCATACCATATTGTGTGTTGATTTGGGATGTCACAGCATTGTTTTTTGACATCTATTACACTTTTTTTTTTTCATATACACTATTATCACAACAGAAGAAATGTGTCGACGCAGATTTATAAATGGTTTTATTAATGTTTTTGTATCACCTTTGGAGACACTTTACATTTGTTTTCTGGTATAGTGACACTACAAGACAAGTGAGATAAAAATGGATCTTCCCCCACTCTAACTAGAAGTATCTTTCTTGGTTGATTGAAATGTGGAGAGATGTGAGGACCTGTCATCCACTAACAGACACGTTAGGCAGAGATGTGTTAGTGATTGGTATCTTTTGGTTAGATGGGGCTTTATATTTAGAGCCAAAGTTCGTGTGTTTAAACACAATGGGACATTTTATACCCTTGTACTTCTTGATGAGCTAATTTATGTTTCAGAGACCCGTTGATTTTCAGTTCCTGCTTTGTTAAATATATTCCATTATGAATCATCTAGCCTTTCTGACTCACTTCTAAATAATGATTTCTATGTATGGTTATTTTTTATAATTACTTAGAATACTCTGAGGTCTTTTAAGGCAAGTTGTGCATGCATGCTTGCATATTTCCTTCCATGTTAAATTTTAAAGCTGAAATATCTGAAATTGTCCTTGCTTTTATAGATCCCCTGTAGCCTTGAGTACTGGGATGAGCTCCAGCGGACATTTGTTGCCTTCCGTGAGTTCAGCCTATCCGAGAGCAAACCATGTGAGCTTCAGCTACCCAATATAACCACGGTCAATGACCAGAAGGAATTGGTAGCTTCAGATCTTTGGCGAATTGTATTGAATGGCAACGTCAGTGCCATGGATGATCAAAGGTAAATATAGTTCCAGTCCTGTATATAACAGTGCAAGCTGCACCAGTACACATAAATGCCAGGGGGAATATTACATACATACATACATACATACATACATACATACTTGTCCATAACAACTCATTTCCTTTTGTGTATGAGTGACTACAAAAATATACAGAGCTCCCTGTAGTGACTAATCTACATATTGCTATATATACAGTAACAAATATAAAGGAGCAAGCGTGTAAAAATATGAAATGCAAATAAAAAATTACTTCAAAGTGATCGTGTTGCTTGTTCATGTAGGGCTAAGTCATAGGTTCACTTTAATGGCAACTGATTAGAAGCGTGTGCTTCCCTCCCATTCCCTGCTGCTTTGTTAATCCACTGCAAGCAAATAAATATACCTGGTACTTCCCTGTATGGGGAATATGTGATTCACTTCCTTTCATCCCACAGGATAGCGCTGGTGCTTGTTAACTCGTCGTTTAGTCACCTAGCACTGTCATATGGTAACTGGAGAGTCTCCAGCCCTATGGAAGCTACCAAGCTTTCAGCTTACAGACAGCTTGCTCTCTTTTCTTCCAGCAGATGGACAGAGCAGCAGGGTAGTGAAAATAACTGCAAGCTGCTGGTGGGGTCGTTGTTCAAGTGGACTTGTTGCTTTGCCCTGCACAAGCTAAATCACAGCATAATATTAAAGAAAACACTGCAGTTTTCCAAAAATCACAATGAAAAGTAATCGTATAAGATGCATTAGATGTAAACTTCTGTTCCTTGACCTAGAGTTAAATCATTGCACTGGAACTTGTATGTAGACTAGCAGTCAGAAATATGTAGCTTCTCACACAGCTTTTCTGATTTACACCAGATCCCTTTGTACAGTACAGTTCATTTTGCTTATAGCTAAAGTATATAGTAAAGCCCAAGAAATGTTTATTTTGGCTATAGTAGGAACTAGTTAAAACCCCTATCTTTTTTTTATTGGCCATCCATGTCCCATTGGAAAGATTTTACTTACATTACTGTCCTGTGCAAGCAATAGGAAGTAAAATGAAATCTCTTCCAAGCAAGGAATATTCTCCTTGTAAACATTTGTCATTGGAACAAGATTTCCTCTCTATCCCAGCTCTGTTGACACTTCAAAATTTTGGATTTTACTCTCTCTTTTTTTCATAATTAATGATCAACAGAGGGGAAGACTGTTCCCCAAACTGTATGCAAAAAAAGTTTTAGATTTAGCTACAGTTTTAACTCTGATTCATTGCAAAGTGACTGCTATTTTCTTTTTCCTTTCAAAATCTCTGTTTTATTTCTGTCAAGTTCTGGCCATTCTGATATTCTTTAGGAGAGCTAGTATGCCAGCCAAGGCTGAATTTCTGCATATGGCCTGGGACTGCAGGACCAGACTACTTTTACTGCCAGTGCCATCCAGCCACGTCCTCATTGTGCCGGGAAATCTGGTATACACATGCTTTTCCAAGATCATTGGCTTTCTTAATTGCCAAGGAAGGATCTCAAAGGAACTCAAAATCTTAACCAAACAATAGAAGTTTCCCTATTTCTATCTTAACAGTTTGCCTTTAATAGGGTAAATCAGGGATCTAATCAGTAGACCATAAGGTGACCACTTTAGGAAACCTCACCAGTCCATATAAAGAGGACACCAGTTTCCTTTACAGTAGGAACAGACCCCACCTGGTACGCTCATGATTGCATTGTTAACACAGTTAATAATTTGTAGATGGCTAATAGGCTGCTGAATGATAGAACAGAGCTAAATCTTGAGATGCAGAACCCATTATACATTCCTGGCCTGTACCACTCATTCTCACTGAACATTGTGTTCTGAGTTTTCTTTTCATAGTGACTTCCAATAAACTTTGGTTCCAAGGTCACTGCTGTGTAAAGTTTGTCGAAAATATCCTGACTCGGCATAGCAATTGGGGGAATCTCAGAAGATGTATTAAAAGGTCCTATTGGTATTAAGTAGGCTGCTTATATAGTAAACAACCAACAAGTTAATCCAGTTGGAAGCTATTTCGTAGACTCACTCCCAAAGCAGATATCAGTTGGACGCCCTTCTCCAGTTTCCCAGCCCTCAGTGGAGATGGAAGGAATTTTGTAGGCTTAGGGTTTGTGCTGGAGCTTGGAATTGACAGTGAAATTTGTCATGCAGCCGCCCATCCACAGAGCTTTCTACAGAGAACGGTTCAAATATCTGCTTCTCAGTATTCCTCTGCAATAGACGTGTTTGCTTTCCGCTGCTTCATCTGCAGAAGTAGTCAAAGATATCAAGAGAATCTGGGAAATCGGCAAAGTGGATCAAAAAATCAATAACAAAATTATACATCTGCTTTCTATTAATTGGGCAGAACTGGGACTGCTTTCTTGATGTTAATTGTGAAAGAATGCATCTCGTCATTGAGAAGCTAAGTGTTTTAGACAGGGTTAATTCTTCTGAGTTTGGGACCACCACAAAATTACCTTTTGTGGTTGACTTGGAACCAAGGTAATGTGAATACTGTGGGAATGTTAAATGTTGCTAGTTGGAAGTCAGCATAGTATTTCTTTGTCAATCCGTTTGACGTTACAATCCCAACTAGTGTAGCTTTCATTGTGAAATGTTTTATTTTAGAGCTCCTGTTCATCTATATCACAGATACTTTGTAAGAAATTGAAGGCTGGGTGAGGCAAGTGCAATTGATATAAATGTGCACTTGAAATGAAGCTCCAGATTCCAGGAGAGAAAGAGAATCCCTTCCAGACTTTCACCAGCTTCTGTTCTGTAGATGCCAAGATAGGCAATTTATGCACATGAATGCATCTTTCCAAGGATATGGGAAGTGGAAGATTTTGCTTTTACTTTTAGCACACCTATATGAGAGCTCTATCACACAAAAAGGGCAGGAGACCTGGTTTTCCTCTGCTGTAGTTCAGTAACACAAATGTTGTTCATCAGACTGTGACTGTACAGTAAAAGGAAATACAGCAAACTCATGAGGCTATCTCTCTGTCACTTAGTACTTTCCTCCTATCAGCATGTCCCTTGTTAGCACACGTAAGCTGCAGCACAACTGGTTATCTCTTTGTGCGGCTTCTTTCTTTCCTAGTCTGAGCTGTGCTGTAATTATCTTTTATATCTGCATTGGATCCAGATTTAAAGCTGCAGACAGATATTAAAAATAATTATTTCAAATATGCTTTCATAAAAAAAAAGTTGTACAGTAGTGCTCGGACTGAGAGAGAGAAGAGAAAGACTGGGAGTCATTCTGTTGTGATGAAGTACATACGAGCTGGCACGGCACATGCTGACACAAGTGAAGGACAGAGTGCAAATAAGGATGACCCACCATCATGCTGATGTGTGCCTCCACTGTTCAGTCACAGGCTGTGGGCAGAGAGTTGATCAGGTTGTGTTTACTTAAAGGTCCACTTTACTTTTAGTGAAGTCCTGTAAGGCCACTCTTCCCACCTCAGTGTAACTGCTGCTGTGAAATATGTTTAGACCTGCTTCTGAGCACTTCACTGTGTGGGTGTGCCCAGCTGCACTCTGTGCTCATGTACAGCCTTATCAATAGAATTAATCAGGACGGGCTGCATGCATGCAGAATGGCCCTGCTGGCATTACTTACTTAGAAAGCGATTTGCACCTTGCTTTTTGTCTTTTTTTTTCTACTTTGAGGTCCTGCATGCACTATTGTAAGTGACCCAAGAAAAAAAAGCACTCTCCTTTTTTTTGTACATGTTTACCTTTAGGATGACATCTCCATGAAGTGTGTGATTTTTTTTTTAACGCCTTCATTAATCATGTAAATGGCCCCACATTACCAGTGCAGTGCTATCTAACTCATTCTAAACATCCTTCTGTGGGGGAAGAGCATATTTCACATGCCAGCTAATTTGAGCAGCGCTTACAAGTAAACACTTCACCACGGAGTAATCTCTGTGTTTTAAGTTAGGACGTAAGTGTGAGAATATAAACAGCATTCTCAAACTGCGCAGCACTTTAATGATGGCTAAATGTGATTTAAATTGGGGCTTTTGTTTGTTCTGGCCTGGTGTGATAGTTTGCAGAGGGATGATTATATGGCAACCAAAGGCTGCAGTTTGAGTCTCAGGGTCAAGAATTGATATTGACTTGAGCACATTTAATAAAAGGAGTGATTTCCATGTAATGTAAAATCGTTTCCCCCTTGCTGATCATTTTTGGCTAGAAGATTTAGATCATGGAGGGACAACAATGTCATGGTTTGACCCTCAGCTTTGTGTGGTCTATGGAAGTCCTGGCAGCAACAGATTAGCTTGCGTTTTTTAAAGTTAAGCATGTATTATGTCTTGGAAGAGAGTTTGTTAAGCACGGGAATTAATAAGAACCTTAAACAACATCCCTGTTTCAAAGAATGGCTGTATTTTTTTACTTAAATAAGACCTCCACCAACCCTTATTTGTACCTAACGTGGCCACATAACATGAAGCTAAAAAGTTTCTGTATGAACGTTTTGTGGCCATTGCTAGCATGTATTGTATTATAGTTTGTAGGTATGAACC